CAAAAGTTTTAGTTAAAATTGTAATGGCTTTAGCATTGAAAAACTCTGGAAGGTCTTTTGTTTCTATTTCCCACCAGTAATGTGCTCTATTTTTCCTTGATGTTGTGTGTGATCAGTTAAGCAAGAAATATAGTCCAAAACTTTATTCTCATAGGAATAAAAAGTATTTAGAGGAAAGGCTATGGCAAGATGGATGGGAAGAGAGACACTCACATTCCAGGAAATGGATCAGACCTTTATAAAACTTTATGATCTTGGGTCACTCCCTCTTTTATCCATTCCTGATGATTCCAGCCTACATGATCTCTTCAGCTACCTGTGATTAACCTTGACTTCAGTGACAGTGTCACAGCAAAGGGTCAGGACAGAATCGAGTTTGTCTTCCTGAAACTCACACAACAATCCTGTGCATTGAATGAAGCAGAGATCAGGCACTAAACCATATAAACTTATACTAGCAAAAATAATAAATTTACAATGCTTATTTACAAGATTAATGCTCAAATCTTTATTTTAAACAAATTAGTCCTTCTAACTTTGACAGAAATTAATTTATTAAAGTAAAAATGGAATCTCCAAGGTTTTGTAAAATAGCTTTGCAGGCACATAGCAACATTCTTTAACAGTTCCCTTAATTCTTTATTATGAGCAGCACTTGGAGCCTTATCCTTGTACCTATCTGCTGATCACAATGTCCCAACACATCATCTAACAATGGAAATACCTAATTTTTAAAAAACATAAGAATAGAAAAAGCTGGGAAATTCACATACAAAAATTACAGATGTTGCTAAACTTTGAGGATGTTCCTTGAGTACTACATATCAGTTTCCAATTTGTTATCAACTTTATCATGCCTAAAATCTAAAAATCTTTACACACCCATAAATAAGGGCATAATGGTCTGTCTGAAGGAATAAACCCATGCCTCCTTACAGTTATGTGCAAAATTCCCTTGGGCATCCAAATGCATTCCACAAATACCCAATAAATGAGTTTTCATTGATGATGGAAGGCAACACAATGTCCAAGCACAACTGTAAATTTTTAGAGCTTCTGACACTAATGAATATTGTGTTTAAAAGTGTTAGATATTTTGTGGATATTTTAAGTAAAGGAACTCCATGACATCTTGCCATTTTGCAAAGTTTGTGTCTCCATTCCAAGGTGTCTTTTTCACCTTTTAAGGGCAAAGTAAAGGCTGCCTGAGAGATCCAAATGTACCAAAGTAACAGTGGCTGGTTACCTCCTATACATCAGTGTGAGTGTGTGCCAAGGACAGTTGTTTGTAGATCTGGGACAGTCTGTTTGATGCTGATACTTTTCCCAAATTAGTTACAATATTTGGTGTAGAATTTAGGACTAAATGATTGCAGCAGATTAGTTAGGTGGTGTGATGAAGGACTTTTGCATATAACTGAAAATAATTTGATTTATCATTTCCAGGAGTTTTTCAGATTATATCAGCTGTGCTGACACAATCTGCCCCCCATGGCTCACACATGATGTGGCTGTTACATCCTTTACCAGTTTTGCATGAGAATTGGTTCTTGTGGAGGAGGTCAGATCAGCTCGTGCAGAAATGGATAGATCACGTCACACCAGTTGGTAAAATAATGCAAATATGTACAGGAGTCACTGTTCCACCACAACATTAATCTGTGGTAACGACAAACACATCTGCTCAGGTGCCTGAAGCAATTCCTGCATTAAGCTGCAGTTGGATAAGGGCAAAATGATCCATCTTTATAAGCCTGGTTGTTTGCTTTTATTGTTATTTGTACTGAGCCAGCATCAACGTTTTTTCATTTTCATCTATACAAGGCAGAAATACCAAAAGGGAAAAACAATCAGGGAGATTTGAATCTTTAAGTAGATACAGTAGTAGTTCAAGTAAAATAGTATATAGCCACAGGGTTTGATTTCAGAAGCAATATCTACTAAATGTGAAAATGTTTCCATTTTTATAAAGTATTATAAATCTCAAGTAGGGTATTTAGATACAGACAATTCCAATTTGTCCAAAGCTAATGCCATACAAAAGCAAAACTCCAGTTCTATCAAAACCTACAGGAGGAATTAATATTTCTGAAGTCGCTTTTGGTTTTGCCATTTACATGGGCACGACATAAATGTTAAGCCTCCCTCCTCATAAAAGGGTCTAAATTTAAGTCTCTTTTAAAGTTGTAAATATATGTTAAGTTTTAGCAATAATATTTCAATGGAAACCTGAAAAGTGTGTCATTAAAACCGGGTTTATAATCCTTTTAATGTCACCCAAAATGTTAACAGCGTTACCATTTCACTTTCATTCGGTATTACTTCTAATGGCTAAACAAATATCCTACTGCAATCATTAATTGGTACTCCACATTCTCAGAAAAGAACCTAAGGGGATTTATGTGCTGTTAACCCTAAATCTTCTAATTTGCAGGAGATAAAGAGAGCCAGCCTCGCTGTGTGCCCTGACTTCACCACTCTCACGCCAAAGGGACCTTTTAGACAGAACGAGGAGAATCTGATTTTGTCTCCAGTAACTACAAGGTTTTTGTCTCTTTTTTTTTTCAAACCATTTTGTTTACTTTATCATTTTGAGACCAAATTCAATTTGCAATTCATTCAGCTGGAATTATTTAATTTAGTGAGATAGATAAAACCTTTCAATAAAAGTTTACTTGCTTTGGACTTCAAAGTTTGAGTAGTCTGTAATTCTGGTCTCTCTTGCATTTTAATTCAGATGCTATGCATGCACATCTACATCTCTGAAAATACCTCTGCCAACACCATGAGGAAAAGTTTGGCTTCTTCACTCTTGATGAGGCCAAAATATTTACTTTTTGTGGTCTAGATGTTCCAATCTTCTCCTTCAGGATCTGTGATTTAATTAATTCTTCTGTTTCTATCTAGAATTCCTTTGCTCCACCACAGCAAGATTACACTTACTAAATTTAAATATTGAAAATATTCACTGCCAAGCAATTTGTTATTCTTGAAAGATTTCCAGGACTATTTTATTACTATTAAACCTCCGGCAAAACACAAACTTCTTAGACTGTATCTACTGGCTTTGCGTATTAATCCAAATAATTAGATTTATTTGAAGAAACTGCAAGTGAAAAGCATGAAAACTAACTTGTCTGTAACACTGCATTAGAATTTGAATATATTGCTTATTTTAGAAATTAATATGGAAAGGTAAAAGGAAATAGTGGAATTGAAGAAGTCTTGTCATATGGGTATTTCTGTAACATCCAGGTGTAAACTTTGAAAAACGTCTAACTTTTTTTGTACACCATATTATCTTCTAATCTTGGTATAGTGAGTAAAATAATTTGAGGCAGTTCTAAGCCTGTGCATATAAAGAGATGGGGATGAAACCATACTGCATTTTTATCAGTAATTTCCCTAAAACATGGTTTAGTATAATTGGTTTGCTGTCGCTTAATTAAACTGCGCAGTGCAGAGTGTCAGAATCACTGTGCTCACTAATAGGTCAGAAGAAAACCAAACCATACCCAAGCCAACTGAAAAGAAAAATGTAATCCAGGAACAGAACTTAAATAATTAACAGGCAACACTTGGCCAGTGACTTTCCAAATGTGTAGGAATCCTTGCCTATAACAGGTGCTCTGCAGCACTGTAAATTCATAACTAAAGTGTTGATGTTGGTTCTATAATTCAAATAATATTTTAATTTCAGAATTCAAATAGCTATTTAGCCTGCTCTTAGTATTCTTGTCTTTCTAGAAGATTTGTTGGAATAGGCAATTTTCTTTATGACTCTCATCCCTTGTTCTTTCTTTATCTTTTTCTGTATCCACAATAGGAGAGGAGATAAGCCTCAAAACTTATTAAACTTCTGCTTTGCTTCCCTTGATGTGTGACAGAAAATTGTCAAAATCTGCAAATAATTAAAAGCACTTCCTGTGAATTGCTGCACATACCATGAGCATATTTGGGGACTATGAAAGGAAGAAGAAATATTGATAGGTGTCAGCCTGTCATTAAACACACTAAAAAATAAAGATGTTGATAAAGTAAAAGGCCTGCTCATTTAAACAAACAAACTAACAAAAAAGTGTACAATTCTACAGATACAAGAACATAATGCATAACAAAATGGAATTCACTTTCAGAGTTATGGGAAAGTGTAATTTATAACTCTAAATAAGAGAGATACTATTGGAAGGTTAATTTCTGGTTACACTGACAAATCAGCAGTGTGTTCTAGTCACTAAAAAAGCTCTTGCCTCAGACTCCAAGAGATCAATAATACATTATGTTTTCCTTAGTATACAGGTTGTAGTTAAAGTCAGCAAGTGTGAGTGCTACTCTTTAAAAAATCCTAATGCAGGTGTCTTGGTCCAGTCATAACAGCACTTTTAACATCATCAAATCTTAATGAGTGCTGCATGGAAAAGGTGTTCTAAGTTTATTGTATATCTTGGTCAGTGTCCTAATTAAAATGTTTGCTTTGATCACATTAAAACACAGACAGTAAGGAGTGATGGTTCAAAGGACTAATATACAACACAACATTATATTATGGGAAAGGTAAACGAAAAAATAATGGCTTTTGGGGTTTTCTTTAGAGAAAGTCAGAGTTTTATTACAATTAACAGCACTAAAGATAAACCATGTATAGTTGATTACACAAAGGAAAAAGGACAACCTATGATGTGTGATTTATACCCTATATCTCCTGTTTGGTGTTTTGCTTATTATTAACAGAAAGATTATTCCTTTATTTAAGAAAACCAATAAAAATAGATGTTTTTCTGTTCACAGGGAAGATCATATTCTGGCTTGTTTTAAGAATGGTAATATATGGAATTTTTTCTACAAAAGTACACTCTTTAGAAATCTGAGGATGAAAGTATTCAAATTGTGGCTCCTCTTCTTTATCTTACCTGGTGCAATCATCCTGCTTAATAGGTCAAAGTTTGTTATACAGAGTGGCCTAAGTTTCAGGGAGAAGATATGTCAAAATATGACTCTAGTTTCTTTCATATTTAATATTTTTGCCATCCTTTATTGCATTTAGTATGTTTGCAAACATCTGAAAAAGCACAACGGTTAAGATTTTATTTGGAATTCAGAATAATACACAAAGTTATAAAAATTTAATCTGTGTGTAGAAGAATGAACACTGTTCCTACAAAGTTGTTCCCCTGGAAATTCTGTTAAAATTCAAATTAAAAGCTGGTGCAGGGACACTGTGGAGGGAATGCCATCCATCCTTTTTAGCTGTTTGGTTCCCCAACAGTTTCCTGTGACTTGTAGAGTTCAAGGCTGGCAGGAGGCGAAGCTGTGAGAGGAAACACACTCATTTTGTCTATGCTCTTGTCACATCTCTCCCTGCCTCCTTTTTGTATTCAGCTGTAGTCTGGCAGGACTTGTAAAAGCAATGGAAATGGGAAACCAGACCTTCCAAGCTCCTTGAAGAAGGAATTACCTGCCTGATGTGCACACAGGTGTACGTGAGGATGCACAAGCGCTCACAAGTCTGGAGAGTGCCTGCACAGATAGAAGCATATAAAAACATGTGCTGCTGGGGTTGTCTGAGAAAAGCCTGGTGTAAAACCCCAAATCTGTACCATGCAACAGCAGAAGCAAGGGAAGGATTTTCAGTTCACTTTTGCCATTAATTGGCCTTTCCCATTGACATGTGAAAAGTTTTTTGACTGCTCCAAATGACTCATCTTCACCTGGGCCCCTTTATACAGGATGTCCTGCACTGGACTCCTTATGGCAGTCTAGTTGGGAAGCATCTTACTACTCAACCAGGAACTGCAAAAGAATTAAAGCCTGAATTCTCACCCCTTACCCAAAAAGCAAACCTTGGTAGGTTGTTAATGCTACTTTCTTTTAATTTTGTCCCTAAACTAGGACACCATGTTAATTCTAAACAGTATTGAGACTCAGGGTATCAGAATAATTTGTGTTGGAAGGGGTCTTCAAAGGTCACCTAAACACTCAAATTCTAAAAATTTAACTGTCTCCTTTTACCTGCCCTCAAACCTAAGGCAAAATACTTTCACTATTTTTCACTATTGCACTCTTTCACTATTTTGAAATATTTCTTCAAGCTTTTCTTGTTGACCTTCTCTTTGAATAGAAGTGTTCCTTATGGGACATCACTAACACACCTAAATACAAGAAATATTGCAATGTTGTAGGCTCACTGCACACTTTAAGGATCTTTCCAAATACCCACAAATACGTATTTTTGTGTTGGCTTTGCTCATTGAACAACTCCTCTGAAAATAATCCTTAAATTAACAATTTCTAAAGCATTCTTTATTCTTGCATTACAAAGCTAAGTGTTTTCACACAAAGTTTCTCTGAACATCCCTTTAGGCACCTCAGCAGAAACTTTGGTATTCTCTGGCGCAGACTCTTGTAGCTGCATTACCCACTCACTTCAATGGCATTTTTGAACACTGGGAAGCATTGGGAATTAGCTTTTCTTTTATTTCCCTCTTGTTTGTGGATTTAGACACCTGGTTTGACTCATATTCAGAAATACGGATATCAGTATCTTCTTTCGGGTTTTTTTTTTGGTTTTTTTTCCCTGCCTTTGTAGAAATCCAGGATTTGAAACGTTCGATAGATTAGTAATACAGACGGCATGGGCCGGGATGCGGAGTGTGGCGGCAGGGTGCCCATCCCAGGTGCCCTGGGCGGGGGATGTGAGCACAGCCGGCAGATCAGATCACATCCGACCTGCTCAGATGAGCGCGCACACACACCCGAGGCGGCTTCCCCTGCACAACCTGCTGGAACCTGGTGGAGAAATTAATTTAAAAAAGTAAAAGAAAATGTTCCGGGGTTCCTGGGATGCCCGGACGCGGCCGGCTCACGCTCGCTTGTCCTTCTCATCCCTTGGGTGAAACTTCAGGCGGCAGCGGCAGCGCAGTGCCGTCCCGGGCGGGTCCCTTATCCCGGGAGCCGCCGCCCCCCGCGGGTGGAGACGCGCACCCCTCGGAGCGGCGGCCGCGGCCCTTCCCGAGCCGGGCTGCTCTCTTCTCGTGCCTTGTCCGCGAACCCCCTCTAGCGCCGAGCCCGCCGCACTCGGCCCG